TGTATTTCTGCACACTAGAAGAGGGTACCAGATCTCATAACGGATGGTTGTGAGCCACCATGTGGTTGCTGGGAATTGAACTCAGGACCTCTGGAAGAGCAGTTGGTGCTCTTAACCTCTGAGCCATCTCTCCAGTCCCTCAGTTTCTTTCTTTTTGAGACAGGATCACATGTAGCCCAGCCTGTCCTCAAGCTTGCTAAATACCTGAGGATGGCCTTGAATTCCTGTCTTTTGCATCCCAGTGCTGAGATTACAGGTGTGTTCTACCATACCTGACTTATATTAGTGGTATACACCTCTTGTTTTCTTTTCACCTTGTTTTGTTTGGGGAGGTAATAAGGATAGAAATCGGGGCCTTACAGATGGATAGGCAAGTGCTTTACCACTGAGCTACATCCCTAACCCTAGGTAGTCCAGACTGGCCTTGAAGTCATGACCCTCCTTCCCTAACTGCATTTGCTCATGGCACGTGCCTCCATTGGTTATGTTTTGTATTTCTGCTTTGAGACAGGGTCTCTCTATGTAGTTCAAACTGGCTTTGAACTCATGATCCTCCCACCTTAGTCTCTCTGGAATTGCAGACCTGTTGCCACCCTGGGCCACATCTGAGCCATTTCCACTTCTTCCTAGAAGGATTCTACACGTGACCATGTCAGCTGCTGTCAGGAGGCAGCAGAGTAATGTGGCCAGAAGTGTGAGTTCCCAGTCACATTGTCTCCATTCAGATCCTCTTGTAAATGACCATCTCACAGTGCCCCAGTAGTCCTCGAGGGGCTGCCATGTGGAGTAAGGCAGATGGAACTCATAAATGATAGCTGTAATTGTGGTGGTCATCAGCATTGCTGTATCAATCCTTTGTCCATTTACAGTGCCTCCCTGACCTTGGTGGCACTTGAGTTTAGAACAAGCCTGGGGTCAAGGATGTGGTGGCCTCACCTCACTGCTGGCTGTCCCACTGCCTGCTGCACAGCAGATGTGTCCAGTGACTACCAACTGTGATGGGTTGGGAGCCTTGCAATGTGGAGCAGAGTGCTTTGGCTTGTTCTGTTCACCATCCCTGCTGGGCTAGGCCCTGGTTAGTGCCACACCGGGTGGGAAACGTTAAGTAGTTTAGTTTACACAGGTGGTTTTTAAAAATGTATTTATTAGATTTATTATTTTTTTTAGATTTATTTATTATGCATGCTAGAGGAGGGCACCAGATCTCATGTAGATGGTTGTAAGCCACCATGTGGTAGCTGGGAATTGAACTCAGGACCTTTGGAGTGCTCTTAACCTTTGAACCATCTCTCCAGTCCCACAAGGTAGTTCTTTGTTTGTTTGTTTGTTTGTTTTTTTGTTTTTGTTTTTGTTTTTTGAGACAGGGTTTTTCTTTGTAGCCCTGGCTGTCCTGGAACTTGCTTTGTAGAACAGGCTGGCCTTGAACTCACAGAGATCTGCCTGCTTCTGCCTCCCAAGTGCTGGGAGTAAAGTCCTGCACCACCAACGCCTGTCCCCCAACAAGGTTGTTCTTAACGAATGGCTGGTATCGTCTTGTGAGTTCCATTTCTCTCTGAGGCTGCAAACTCAGATGCCTAGGCCTTCCTTGCCTCCTCTTAATAGTTTCCCCACTCTCTCCTATCCTGTGCATGTTTGTTCTGTGAAGATTAGCAGTCACAGTGCTAAGGTCCTACCCAGCTAGGGATATATGCCAGACACATAGCGAAGGGACCAGAGGTTGGGCAGACGTAGCTCCTTAACTACTCTGCCATTTTCTTGGCCCTGCTACCTTTTCTGAGAGGGCTTTAGTCTTAGGCTAGCTCCACAGACGATTACAGGTTAGTCATAAAGGCTCCCTGAGCTACTTGGCTCTGCGCCATGCTGATTGTTCCCCAGCTGGAGACCTGATATTCTGAGTCCTGGTCATTGCATCCATCATGTAGGGGACACTGGTTATTACTAGTTCTTCCTGTGCTATGACTGCTCAGGCTAGCAAACATCTGAGGAGAGAGTGACAATTTGCAGTAAGTAGGACACTTTGGGTCATGAGTTATTGATGCCAAATGTGTGATCAGGAAGGGTGGCATTAGTGAGAGTCAATCTCAGTCTCCTGAGGACAGGGAAGGACACTGTCTCTGTCAAGGCAGTAGCTATTATTCTGTGTTTGTAGGTACACCAGAGATGGATGTCCACTCTGGTCCCTGATGTTCCTTGGTAGACACAGTGCAGCCTGGGCAATAACTTGGGGGTGATGACCTCCTTGTCCTCCACACTTCATAGAGAAAGCTGCATTGTGTGAGGGAAGAAGAGGCAGGGCTGCTAAGCCTGGGTAGGTAGGCTTGTGCCATCCTCAGTGCTCTTATAGCCTTTGGAGCCCAGAATTGTAGTTGGGGGAAGTGAGGCATAGGTTGGCCTGTTCTTCCTTCCTTCCTTCCTTCCTTCCTTCCTTCCTTCCTTCCTTCCTTCCTCCCTTCCTTCCTTCCTTCCTCTTCCTCCTCTTCCCTCCCTCCCTCCTTTCTTTCCTTCCTTTCTTCTCCTTCTTCTGCAAGCGTTTTGCTGTGGAATGAGTATGTGTGTGTAGTGTGGTGTGTGTGTATGTATATGTGGTGTGTGTGTGTGTGTGTGTGTGTGTGTGTTATATATATGTGGGGTGTGTGTTTGTGTGTATGTATATGTGGTGTGTGTGTGGTGTGTATGTGGGTGGTGTGGTTTCCAGACACAGCTGACTTGGTCAGTTTTGGAGGCGGACTTCAGGATGTTGGATTGCATTCTGATTGTGTCACCCTTGGAAGGAGAGCATGAAAAAATACAAAGCCTCCTCGGCAAGCACACCATGCCCTCAACTTTGGAGATTTTCAGTTTCACCTAAAAATCTCCAGACTGTTCTGTCCTGCATTTGATCCTCAGGCTGTCACAAGCAGGAGGGAAGACTGAATAATGAAGTCCTCTGTAAGGTGGGCAGATGGCCCTCAAATGTATTTGAAGATGGTGTTCGTGAACTTAAAAAATGATCAGTGGTGTCATGGCAGGCAAGGATGGGAAGCATAGGAAACACAGGCAGCTTTCCCAGCCTGTGGAGAGCTTCCTGAAGTGGGGAGAAGAGGTGGAGAACCTAGATGCATAAAATGTTAAGGGTTGGTGCAGGGAACAAGACGTTGTCTGGGAGGGGCCAGCTAAGGTCAGGTGCCAACAAAAAGGCAGAGAGCCCTGAGAGCCCAGGAGTTCAGGGAACCTGCTGAGCTTAAAAGGGAGACTTGGGGAAAAAAAAAGGGAGACTTGGGCCCCCGAGAGATGGCTCAGTGGGTAAAGGTGCTTGCTGTCAAGGGTGACCACCTAAGTTCAGTCCCTGGAATTAGAATCACACTGGTGGAGAGAACTGACAAGTGTCCTTTTACCCCTGCAGGGGTGTTTTACATGTGTGAGCCCACCCATACCCCTCCAAGTAATTAACAAAATAACGTGAAAGGAGGAGGATATAGGCACAGCTCAGTTGCTAGTTTGCTCACCTAGCATGCCTTGGGTTTGATCTCTGGCACTGCATAAAACTAGGTATGGCAGCAAATGCCTGTGATTCCAGTACTGGGGAGGTTGATTAACGAGAAATACAAGTTCAAAGCCATTCTTGGCACAAGTTCAAAGCCAGCTTGGGCCTGTCTCAAAACAAAACAACAACACACCTCCCCCCAAACACACACACACACACACACACACACACACACACAGAGAGAGAGAGAAGGGTGGAAGAGAGGGAAGGGAGAGAGGGAGAAGAGAGAGAGAGAGAGAGAGAGAGAGAGAGAGGAATTTAGAAGTAACCAGTGGGGCTGGAATGGAATTGAGCCTGGGGGGAAGGCCTGAATGCCAGACAAAGGGGTGGTGGTGGCAGGGGAGACTATCTATTGTTTCTGATGTGGGCATCAAGGAAAGAAAGCCCCTGATGGCCCCTTCATCAGGTTACATTTGCAGCCCCATCGGGACTTGTGAGTGGGTAAATTAGGCCGTGATGCCCTGGGGATGATGATAGGGAGGAAGGGTCATTGTGAAAAATAGGCTCCACCAAGTCTTTGAAAACAAGTTTAGAGCAAACCTGGCTTGTTTGTAATGGGTAGAATAGTCACGTAAGATCTAGACTGCTTATAGACATACTTAGGCATGATAGGGACAGGTGTCGGTATCCTGAGGCCGGTTAGGTTTTTGTGCCAGAAGCCAGACTGGCTAGAGAGGTACAGGCCAAGGCAGCAGGGTGTGACTGTAGAGAGCTGATGTCTAGGTGCTGAGGAGTCTGTCATGTGGCAGAAGCCACAGGGCCTCCCGTCTACCCCCGCGACTCTTTTGCCCACTGTGCTGTGTCCACATTTACAAAAGGTTGCCTTGACATTGCTCAGAGCTCCACTGTGGAGCTATGGACAAGAGAGACTCCTGTGTGCCTTCCTGTCCCTGGTGGTGGTTAGGGCATAGGTACAGAGGATGAAAGGTATGGTTCTGCCCAACATGGAGCTCTGCGGACCTGCAAACCTGCCCTCAGGGTAGTATCTTACTCCCATTCCCAGGTAAACCAGAGAAATCATCCTCACAAAGTTGAGTCCAGCCTTGACTCTCTTCAGGGGCCTTATTGTTCCTCTTTTTTTGTTTGTTTTTTTTTTTTTTTTTGAGACAGGGTTTCTCTGTGGCTTTGGAGGCTGCCCTGGCACTAGCTCTTGTTGACCAGGCTGGTATTGAACTCACGGAGATCTGCCTGCCTCTGCCTCCTGAGTGCTAGGATTAAAGGCGTGCACCACCAATGCCCGGCTCACACTTATAATCTTAAACACTTTGGAGACTGAGGCAGTGGGATAGCAAGTTCAAGGCCAGCTGGTCTCTAATGTGTGGGGGTGGGGGGAACTCAGGGGCCTTCTATGGGAGTGTAGCATGGAGTTGGAACCCTGATGACTTCAAGGTATATCCTGGGTGGTGCTGAGAACTCAGGCACCAGCATCAGGGCTGGTCTGACACAGACATTTCTTCCCTCAGGGAGCTCACTGTCATGCTGTGCTTTTCTTGGCAGAACGCAGAGCCTGAGCCTCGGAGCCTGTCCCTGGGCGGCCATGTGGGGTTTGACAGCCTCCCTGACCAGCTGGTCAGCAAGTCAGTCACACAGGGCTTCAGCTTCAACATTCTTTGTGTGGGTAAGTGGTGGCCTGGTCAGGGCAGAAGATAGGAGAGATTTCTTGGAGACAGTGTTCTGCTGTTCTGGCACCTATCAAGCTGGGGTGGAGGGTTCCCAAGAAGAGGGAGATCTTGGGTTTAGGCTTTGGCCTTGCCTCTGCCAGGATCAAGAACAGGATTAAAGCCAGGACCTGACTCAGAGTCACCACAAAGAGGAAACAGAAGTGGTTCCATGAAAGTACTGCCTAAACAGTGGTGTTTATCATAGAAATTCCACAGTCACTAGTTCATTCATTTATTTAAAAAAAATCACAGGGCTGGAAAGATGGCCCAGTGCTTAAGAGCACTTGCTGCTCTTCCAGAGGATAGGGCATCTGTTCCCAGCACCAGTCGATGTCAGATGGCTCACAACTACTTGTAGCTCTAGTTCCAGGGGACTGGACACCCCCTTTCTCACTTCCCATAGGTATTCACACATACACTCACATTGACATGCACATATAGATAAAAATAAGTCCTTAAATTCTCAGCGTTGGTGGCGCATGCCTTTAATCCCAGCACTCGGGAGGCAGAGGCAGGCGATCTCTGTGAGTTTGAGACCAGCCTGGTCTACAAGAGCTAGTTCCATGACAGCCTCCAAAGCCACAGAGAAACCCTGTCTTGAAAAACCCAAAAAGAAAAAAATCTCTCCGTCTTATTATGTGACAAGGATACGATGATGAATGAGACCCTACTTTGTCACCAGATCACAGGGTAAAACTCTAGTACACTTTGGAACAAACACAACCTGACTGGGGAGGCTCCATGTGTCCAAAGCCTAGGACTCCCAGAGGCACAAAGACTGTGCAGGGCCCTCTGCAGGTATCCCTTGGGAAGGAGACCACGAGAAGCTGAGGCTGCTCAGGCTACAGCTCCTGGTAGTTTCAGGTCCTGTTCCTGTGGACTGATGACCACCTTGACCAAAAAAGGGTGATGCTCAGAATAAGCTGTGTTTTGTGACTAGGTCCCTTTGAAGCCAGCATACAGTGGTATCTCCATAGCCTGGTACTGCCTTTTCCCCACTCCCTAGGGAAATGTCACATGCCCTGAATAGCCATGTCTTACATCAAAGGCTTCCTTTATGATTCTTCTGAATATTGTTTTCTTTTTCTTTTCTTTTCCTTTTCCTTTGCCCTCCACTTTAAAAATTTATTCATTTTATTTGAGGGGGCACATGACAGTGGAAGTCAGGGGACAACTTGGGGTCACTTCTCCTCTCCTACCATTGAGTCCCAGGGATTAAACTTGGGTTGCTAGGTTGGCAGCAAGTGCCTTTACCCCTGAGCCATTCTACAGACCTTTTTTGGGGGTTGGGGTTGGGAGGTAGGGGTTGGTGTTGGGATGGAAACCTAAAACCTTATACATGCCATGCAAGTACTCTAACACTGAGCAACAGCCCCCACACTTTTCAGAGGCTACCAAGGACAGGGCAGTGAGGAATGGAGCAGGCAGCTTCCTTCCCCTGTCTCATTCTACAGCTGAGGGCCTTTGAGCCTCACCTCATCTAGCTAGACAGCCCCGGTTCTAGCCTTTGATATTCGCTTTTTTCCCTGCTGTCCCCACTCACCAGGGGAGACTGGGATCGGCAAGTCCACACTAATGAATACACTCTTCAACACGACCTTTGAGACTGAGGAAGCTAGTCATCATGAGGAGAGTGTACGCCTGCGGCCTCAGACCTATGACCTCCAAGAGAGTAATGTTCATCTCAAACTGACCATCGTGGATGCTGTGGGCTTTGGGGATCAGATCAATAAGGATGACAGGCAAGAGGCGGGAAGGGCGGCTCCACCTTCCGCTGTCCACTCTGAACTTGTTGACCCCCACCTGAAAAAACATCCCAAGCACTTTCAAACTGCCCTGTACATACAGCTCTAAGATGACCTGGGAAGGCTGCTGGGGAAGGGCTGAGGTCTTGGGCCATTGACAGAGCGGTTCTTTCTCTAGGAGGGTATAGGAGAAGAGGCCAATCCTACACTAGATAGGGCAAAGCTGGTCCCAGGGAGGAGAGTGGGGATAGCCTGTCTTGGGCTCTGGGCTGCTCATGCTGCAGCCAGTGTCTGCCTGCCTCCCAGGTGATGAAGCTGTCTGTAGTTACAGGCCCATAGTTGACTACATCGACGCACAGTTTGAAAACTATCTACAGGAGGAGTTGAAGATCCGCCGTTCACTCTTTGACTACCATGACACGAGGATCCATGTTTGTCTCTACTTTATCACTCCCACGGGGCACTCCCTGAAGTCCCTGGACCTGGTAACCATGAAGAAACTAGATAGCAAGGTGTGTGCCCTTCCTTGTCACCTGACCTCTTTCTTTCACCTCTGGAAGGCGGTGGGTGACTGCAGTTGGCTATCCTGTGGTCAGCTTGGTCCTCTCTGGCTATTTCACTGGCCCTCACTGAGCTTTTCAGAGCTCTGTTCTCAGCAACTTCCTTCTCATTTGGAGCCTTGCTTTTTTTTTTTTTTTTTTTTTTTTTTTTTTTCCTTCCTTGTAACTAACCTCTCTTGCTGACCCTCTGCCCAGAGTGTCCCACTTCCATCCCGGCCTCTTAATCTCTAGTTTCCCCTGGCATTTCTTTCCTGTCTGACATGGCTTCCCCACTAGGAGAGGAGAATGACTCAGAATTGGATTGTGAATGAGGGTACAGGACAGTTTCATAGGATGTCAGGAAGGGTTGGGGTCCTGGAAGACATGTGCTCCCCTTAGTTATCTCTCAGCCCTTGTGACTGCCTTTCCATCTCAGGAGTTATTGTCACCATGAAAAATGGGGTAACCTTGGCCCGGGAGCATTTTTCCATAGCTGCTACTCCTGGGTCATTTTACTTGCTTAGTGGGTAGCTTGGTCACCACTACTGGATCTGTCAGACCCTAGGCCAATTTGGACCTTCAGAGCATTCTGGGTCCAAGTTGAATATGCCTAGGGGTCCAGATATCACAGTGGCCACAGATGGCTGAGTTTGGACTGTGACTGCTCACTGGAGCCACTGTCTTCCTGATTTCCCCCTCTTAGTGCTTGTCCATGGTCAGTGACTATTATTCAAAATAGCTGCCTCCTCCCCTAACCTTCACAGGTGAACATAATTCCCATCATTGCCAAGGCTGACACCATCTCCAAGAGCGAACTCCACAAGTTCAAGATCAAGATCATGGGTGAGCTGGTCAGCAATGGAGTGCAGATCTACCAGTTTCCCACGGACGATGAGGCTGTTGCAGAGATCAATGCAGTCATGAATGTGAGTGTTGGACAAGGGCCTCAAGGCTCCAGAACCAGAGGGCTTGGAGACACAAGTCTGTGACCTAGTCCCTGGGGACTCAGCTTCCCAGAATGTTATCTTTCCAGTCTCCAGCACAGGGTGGGTGGGCATTCCACACCTCTCAGGCCTGAATTCTGGGGGCACCAGACTAGAGGATTTGGATGTTGGTTTGCACTAAGGATCCACTAGATCTAGTGTCACAGGTTCTAGACTAAGTGTGGGAAAATGATGCCTGAGGGAGCAAGTACAGGCATGGCCAGAGTTACAGGTCCTGTCAGTGAGCTCTACTGGCCCTTGAGAAGAGCACCCCACAGGCAGGAAAACCCAGACAGGAGTCGAGAACAGATAGGAAGTGAGCCTCTAACCCCAGAGCCTCCCTAGCGTGCAGGGGTGGTGAGAGAGTCTGTCCCCTCATCCCTGCTCAGTGCTCACAAATATACCTGGGCCCCCTTTCAGGCACACCTGCCTTTTGCTGTGGTGGGCAGCACAGAGGAGGTGAAGGTGGGCAACAAGCTGGTTCGAGCACGACAGTACCCTTGGGGAGTGGTGCAGGGTGAGTGTGGGGCGAGTACATCCCCAGCTGGGGCCTCAACTCAGTCTCCTCTTGTCCTGCCAGCTGAGGCCCTAACCACTGTCCTGCTATCCCCCTGCTCATCTTCATGGCCACCTCACTCTGTGGAACTCCCTGAAGCACCTGGCCACTTTCCTGCTGTTCCTCTACCCGTCTCCATGCCTCCTTCATGAGGCATCCAACCACTGTCCTGCTGTACCCCAACCATCTGCATGTTTGTTTTGCTGTGTGGAACCACCAAGGCCCCTAACCATTGTCTTACCTTTCCCCTGCTGATCTGAACACTTGCTTCATGATGCTTTGGAGCCACCAAGGCACCCAACTGCCACCCAGCCATTCCTCCCGCCTGTCTGCATGCCTGCCTCATGCTTCTCACGCCTGTTTTCAGTGGAGAATGAGAATCACTGCGACTTCGTGAAGCTGCCTGAGATGTTGATTCGGGTGAACATGGAGGACCTGCGGGAGCAGACCCACAGTCGGCACTACGAGCTCTACCGACGCTGCAAGTTGGAGGAGATGGGCTTCCAGGACAGTGATGGTGACAGCCAGCCCTTCAGGTGATAGTCTGCCCTGTGCTGCCTCAGCCACTCTTGTCACACCAGCACTTGCTCTCTCAGGCCGCACCCTCTCGCCCTCAGCTTCTACCTGACTCCATCGCTCTGATGGCCTCAGTTCTACCTTTGGCCTCTCCTTTGGGTCTCCACAGCCTCCAAGAGACATATGAGGCCAAGAGGAAGGAGTTCCTGAGCGAGCTACAGAGGAAGGAGGAAGAGATGAGACAGATGTTCGTCAACAAAGTGAAGGAGACAGAGCTAGAGTTGAAGGAGAAGGAACGGGAGGTGTGTGCCAGGCCGAGGGGCTGTGGCGAGGAAGTGTCAGGGCGGGGGGCGGACACGGGGGTGGGAGACCTACACTGCCCATACCCAGGTGCCGCCCTCTCCCCTCCCCAGCTCCACGAGAAGTTCGAGCACCTGAAGCGAATCCACCAGGAAGAGAAACGCAAGGTGGAGGAGAAGCGCAGGGAGCTGGAGGAGGAGACCAACGCCTTCAACTGCAGGAAGGCAGCCATGGAGGCCCTGCAGGCTCAGGCCCTGCATGTCACATCACATCAGCCCTTGAGGAAAGACAAGGACAAGAAGAAGTAAGTGGCATCTCCCTCCCTGGGCTGTCTCCTTACCCCTGGGCTCAGTCATTCCTGCTCTCCGCTTCTCCATCCCTCTGGGTCACCACTCACCTATGCTCAGCCTCAGGCTCACTGTAGTTTGCCCTCAACTCCTCACTTGCTTTCTACCTGTGCACCTCCTTCTTGCTCCTGTGCTAGTCTTCTTTCTCGATGTCTCACCCTCTGGGTCTCTCTCGTGGCAGCTGTTTACTCTCCATCCAGCCCCCCGTGCCCTACACTCACCTCTCCCCTTTGATCTCTCTCTCCTCCGTCATGCTCCCATAGCATCCTCATCCCCCCACAGCATCCTCAGCATCTGGGGCCTCTTCACTGCTATAGCAGTGAAGGAGCTGGGTCACATGGACAGCCAAGTAGCCAGGACCAGCCAAGCAGGTGTGGCCACAGGAGACTGGGACAATTCTGTCAGGCCAGGAGAGGGATGGATGTGGGACTGCCCTCATTTCCTGCCAGATTCCAAAAGAACCTATGCTTCTGCTTGAGCATCTGTGGCGCATATCCCCCTAGACTTCTGGCGCAGGGGTTGTGGAACTCATATTAGCTGGTAGATGATGACACATAACAGCAGGGACTCATAATGGCAGGCCAGTCAGCACTGCCCCAGACTGTCGTCTCTACACAGTCACTTTGGAAGGTCTGGAGAGGTGGAAGCAGGGCTGCTCCTCTTGTAGGGGCTAGAGCAGTTCCTGTAGAATAGAGAGTGACAGATGGCAAGGAGGCTGTTTTAAGATGTGTCAAGTTAACGACACAGAAGAATTCCTAGCTATGTTTCCTTAGCATTTTCTTTGCTTACTCCTCCTCCCGCCCCACTGCCTCCTCCTTTTCTTTGCCTTCTTAAAAACAAACAAACAAACAAACAAAAAACCAACTATTATTTATTTTGTGGTTCTAGGAATTGAACCCAGGTCCTTGCACATGCTAGATAAGCTCTCTACCACTGGTCTGCATCCCAGTCATATTGGTGTTCTCCACAGCCCTTTCCCACATTCTTATCTGGAGTCTGATACCCTGTCTCCAGTAGCTCTCAGTCTCCCACTCTACTTCATTCAGAGACTCAGGCCCCATCACGCCATGGCGTTCCCATCCGCCTCAGCATCTGGGGCCTCTTCACTGCTGTAGTAGTGAGTGAGGCTGGGTTTCCCTGGCCCTTGGCTTATATTTGGTCTCATTTTTTTCTTGCCAACCCAAAAAGTAAGCAAGCATCCATTCTCACCCTCATTCCTGGGCTCCTATTATCCCTTGTATTGTTTAAGGAGACATGTACCCAAGCCTTCCAATCTGGGGGTCATGGAGTCTAGAGGTCAGGCCCACACAGTGAGTGGACTGTTAGTTGTCACCCTGGGATACATCTTGATGCATGAACTCATTCAACTATGTCCTGCCTCACCCCTAGGTGGCATTTACTGATGCATGTGCTCTCTCTCTCACACACACACACACTCACACACTTTCTCTAACTCTCATGCCTCAAACTTAAAGTGCTTCTCCCTGGGGTAGGCAAAGCACTTAGGAATAGATGCACATTGTGGTTCCCAAGGTTTGCTCTCTGCTTTGGGACAGGTGTTCCCCCTTTTTGTAGACTTCCCCCATCCTGATGCCTGACAACTCACCCCAGCTGCCTATTCCCAGAGCACCCCAGGCCCAGCTCCTCCCAGCGAGAATTTGTAGTTGCTTTCAGCCCTGGTCCCATGCCCAGCCCTTGGTTTTGAGTGTGGAGGTTTTTGTGCAACCAGTGTGGGCTTTAAGCTGGCATCTCAGAAATGTGCCTCCTTGTGAGAGGGACAGGGGACAGAGTCTATATACTCAAAGTGACTGTCCTGCTTTCTGCTGCTGTGGCCTAGAGGTTAGTAGGCAGTGTCCCCAAATAAGAAAATGGGAGAAGTCCCAGGGCCAGCCAGGTGAGGTAGCATATGCCCATGTTCCCAGCATGGGGGAGGCAAAGGCAAAAGGCTTGCTTTTAACTTTGAGGTCAATCTGAGCTATTTAATGTGTTGTTAGACTAGCCTGGGCTACATAGCAAGAGCCCTGACTCAAAGAAAAGGAAAGGAAAAAAAGACTGCAGGGCAGTTGAGTGTAGAACCCCACTGTGAAGATAGACACAGTAGAGGGCTGTCCCAGCTATCTGGTCTCCTGGAATATTGTTTCCCAGATCTGGGTCTGGAAAGCCAGCCCTTTCTGTTCGGGGTTTACACTAGGGAGCTTCAGTCGATTTGACCCTGGGAGAGAAGACATTGTACCTGTGGAGCTGGTTGGGATTTAGGGGTCCACAACTCCTCTTGTACTGGTCCAGTGGGATAGGGTGGGCCAGGCATGCATTTGGGAAGTGAATTTTTTTCATGGCCATTTAGTTAAATGGCTTTAGTTGGTTTGTATTCATTCTTTAAATTTTAATCAATTTTTGCGAAATTACTTCCAATCAGATTTTGACCCTCAGCCCGGGACGCCACAAACTGAAGCGAGTTCCCTGCTTTGCTCATCACAAATGCCAAACTGACTGCCCTTTCCCAGTGTCCACCTTGCTGTCTTTTGTTTGTTTGATTTGGTCTCCGTATCTTTTAATGTGTCTGTTTTTGTTTTGTTTGTTTTATTTTTATTTTTCAGTTAAAGCACGCACAGACTTACATGTCAAGAGCGGACTTTAGACTTTCATGTGTTAAGTTGCTTGAGTTACACCTTGTGACCCTTCTCCCATAACATGGTGTGAGGATGGACTGGGAGCCGGTACAGACTCCAGTGTTTACAGCCTTGCCTTGTCCCCACCTGCTGGCCCCAGGCTACCTGGGCCTGGCCAGCTACCCCTCTCTATGCAAACGTGTCAAAGCCATGAATGCTGGCATCCAAAACTGACAAGGTTTATTTTTTCCAGAGCCGGTGGCTGGTCTTCCATTTACAGTGTCACTATTCCTTGACGGAGCAGTTATGGGCCGCTCTAGTGATGGCCCCAGCCAGTGATTCTAGGCCTAATTGTTCATCATCAAGCCAGCGACTCATGTGGTGCCTAGGCGTGGCCTGTGGTCTGGTGTATACATGCTGCAAAATTCGCCTGTTTACCCTTCATTTAATTTTTCTAACCTAGAGCTTAATTTCAATAACTCTAAAACACTTCTAAATTTTTATTTTGGCACCAATGTAAAGACAAATAATATCTATCTTTCCCATTATTTTCATAAGTAACACAGATTGCCTGATTTTTTTTTTAAACTAAAAAGACCTCTAAACCTTCTTACATAGAAAGCACCCCTATGATATATAGGGAGAGGTGGGAAATAAAGTTCCTATTCTGGCAGTGTTTGGGACTTCTTTACAGACTGAAGTGGACCCCCAACAAGACCACGCCCAGCCTTTTTACTGTGAATGTAAATGGAACAGCAGCCCAAAGCCCTTGTCTCTGCCCTAGAGGTGCTACAGGTGACAGGGACCAAGTGCATGTGTGTTAAGTGTTTGACTCCAAATAAGCTGCCTGCTCCCAATCAATGTGCTCAGTTGGGAGAAGGCTGTCATGTCAAGGTCATTGTTACTTTTTTCCTGGCTGAGGCAAGGAAATAAAGGTGTCTGAAGTATTAGGGCAATTTGAGGTGGGGTAGGGGGGAGAAAAAAACAACAAAACCCAAAAGCCTAGCAGCTAAGAGCTTCCCCTCCAGCTGTAGTTTCCAGATGGACGCTTAAAGTCACTTCCATGTGTGATGGTGCAGGTCTGTAATGCCAGTGCTTGAGGTAGGAAGCCAGAGACTGACCTCAGTTACATAGTGAGGTAGAGGCCAGCTTGGCTAACATGAGATCCTGTCTCAAAAATAAAATAAAAACAAGAAAAGTACTGACAAAAATCCATTCTGCTCTGCTCCTGATGGTTTGCAAGCCTCAGGGTTGAAAATGGGTGAAAACTAATGTCCTCAGTGTTTGTATAGCTCGAGACTGGACCCCGGGCTCCCCAGAAAGACTTCATCCTGAGAAGCTGATTACCCAGTGGGCCACTCATTGAGAAACTGAGGGAACCACACTGATTCATGCGGGGTTCAATTTTTTACACCCCCATCTCTCTCCCACCACATTTCCCCCTTTCTACCAGGCCTGCCTCTCTTCGTCCAGGACCAGTCTGGCTTCTTCTGAATTTCTAAGATGATGGTTCATTCAGAGTGAGCTGGAGGGGAAGGTTGTGAGTCCACTGAGGCTCAATGCCCCTAAGACCTCTTGTACCTGTGAGAGGCCCCACACAGCAGGAGAATAGTGTCTGCTGATGCTCTGAGGAAAATCCATGTCCAGGGTGGATCCTGGCTGCAAGGCTGGACTTAGCTATTTACCAAGACTGTTTTAAGCAAAAGAATATAAAATTCGGTTCAGGCCTTGGAAACCTTGTGAGCTTCATAGCTCATCTGCCTCTAGTCATGGCAGAACTGATGTTGGACTTTGGTGTCTGAGGCAGAGGTGAACTGCAGGCCAGTGGCTCCTCTTAGGGACACTGTATATCTGAGGGTGTATTCACTTAGGTCCAAACCTGACCTTCGGAGCAGTCTCTTCTAGCCAATATAATATAGAGACTAGGATGACCCAACAGGTCCACCGGTTGTATAAAACAGGACTGTTGGCCCCATGCTGGACACTCAGGAGCCTGCAAATTCTACCATTGTCTCCTACAGCTCACCAGCCACAACTTGGGCATACTGGAAGGCTGCTTTGGTCAGTGCCCACCTTTTGGCCCAAAGCTTGCTAGCATCCCTGGGGAGACTTGGCTTGCACTTTCTAGGGTCTAAGTTGCCCCCCATGGATCCTGTCAGCCATGGCAAGCTTTTCTCCTGCTGTGTGGAATTTAGTTATCTGTAGCTGAGGTTAAATTAATCCTTCGTGTGCAAGAAAAACAAGAAACTTGCCCCTTTGGGGATTCGACCCCCACGTATAGCTTGGATTTACTCCTCCTTCCCTGTCGTTTGTTGGCTTCATAAGGACTGTCATAGGATCATGTTGACATTTGCTGTTATGTTTCCCTTTAGTCATTTTGTGTTGTGGTAGAATCACCATGTAAATTATGGTTCAAACCTGGACTTTTGAGAGAAAAAGATTCTGTTAATAATCATGCCAAATCCCTAGGCCCTCAGGAGGCTGAGGCAGGAGAATCAAAAGTTCAAAGCCAACCTGGGCCACTTAGCAAGACCCTGTATTAAATTTTTAAAAAAATGCTGGGCATGTGATTTATTGCTAGAGAATTTGCCTAGCATGACTGGGGACTGAATTCTCTCCCCAGCACTAAGAAAAGAAACCCAAGTCAACAACCATCAAGCAGAAGTATTCCAGGCCAACCAAGATGTGTGTTCTCCCTCATACTGGGTGGCCTGAATCCAGGTGTTTTGTGATGGTGCACACTGACCCTGTATATGTATGTGTGTGTGTGTGTGTGTGTGTGTGTGTGTGTGTGTGTGTGTGTGTGTGTGTGTGTGTGTGGACTCCCCTTGTTTAGGGCTCACACTGGGTAAGAGACCCAGGAAAGCCAGCTTGCTTGTCTGTTATGTTACCATGCATTTCTAAAACCACTTCAGTTGTTAATCCATTTACTCCTCTATCCATTGACTTGTTTTTGTTCCTTTCCTTCCACTTTGTACTCATTTGTTTTCATTAAATTTTGCATTTATTTTGAGTTTTTTGCTGTGTCATTTTTGGGCAGTAGCTTTTCTGATTCGAGTTTCTTGAGCATATTAATATTCTGTAGCTGTGGCAAATACAGCCTGCTTCTGCTGTGACCTTTGTGGGGACAGATCTCCTGAAAAAAAAAATTCATTTCCTAGTGAATCCTGATACAGGCACCTGTGAGTGCTTGTGGTACGAAGGAGTCACAAGAAGGAGAATCTGCAGTCTGTGGCTCTTGAGGAGTTATAGGGTCCAAGACTGAGAGAAGGCATACCCTACCCTCAATGAGTTTACATCTTTACTGAGGAAACTTGGCTTGGGACAGCTAACACGTATGTGTTCTCAGCTCTTGTAATGACATGCTCTAACATCTCTAATCCTCATCATCTTGTGATTAGATACTATTTCTGACCACATTTTATAGGGGAAGTCCCAGAGAGACTTCATAATTACCTAAGGCAGCACAGCAAGCAACTGGAAGAGCTACAATTTGAATATTGGTTTTCTGCATCCTTAATTTCTGAGCTAAAGCTTGACATCCTATCAGGATCACAGGGGAAGAGTGGAAATGTGGTCACTGTTAAAGTATAGTGTGATGGTGTGGGTTGTGGGCCTGAGATGGTTTTGTGGAGGTGGGATGCCTCGGGAGATGGAAATGTTTGGAAGGAAGGGTGGACTGGTAGTTGAAAAGAACAAGATGCTTCTGGTCTTTCTCCATCTCCATTTCCTCTGGCCTCAGTTCTTCACTAGCCCCTCACCCTTCCAGGTGGGTACAGAAGGAAGATGGATTGTGTTCATATTATCCAATCATAAGTTGAGGTGAGGTAAGTTCCTAGTAAAAAACCGAAGAGACAGAACAGACCCTGGGCCCCTGATGCAGTCTTTTAACAATGCACAGTGGTACTTTGGCAGTGGAAGCATTCACCACCCAAGAAGAATAATTTCATTTGTAGACACACAGGTAATAGGCCACCTCCTCATTCTGATGATATTCTTTCTCCATGAGCTTGAGAATAGGATCAGCTCAGACATTTTACAGCTAGAGCCACCTGGTTGACAGGCCCAGGTGCTGTGCATGCAGCAGACAGCCAGTGCCACAGGGTACCCACACTGGTGTGAGCCCTTAAGATGAACTCCCATCCCAACACAGCATCTATTCATGCATGTTGGCCTCTGGATGGGAACAGCAAGAGGCAGGTCAGCATGTCTACCTTGCCTGCCTGCTGTAGGTAACTGGAGATGTCTGAATGTCAGGTTTCTGGCTACTGTCAGCTCCCTACCCTTATCCCCATTTGTCTCCTGGTCTTCCCAGAACCTACCTGGAGAACAGTTACTAACAAGACCCAGAGGACAGGGTTCCAGGTATATATGACTCTAGTAAGGGATGCACAACAGTTCTTTTAATGGAAAGTAGGTCTCCTGCAGCACTGAAATCCATTCCAAGTATATTTTTACAGAAACTTCTGACAGTCAGGTGTGCCATGTGCCTGTGATCTCAGTACTCCAAAGGCTGAAGCAGGAAGATTTTTAGGCTTGAGGTCAGCCTGGGCTGCAATTTGGGCTGGAAAAAAGGAGTCGGGAGGGCTGCTGTAAGTCTGCCAACTTGAGTTTGATTCCCTGAGACCATGTGGAAAGAGAGAACTTTCTTCCACAAATTGTCCTCTGATGTCCACATTGTATGTAAATAAATTGTGTGTGGAGGGAAGTTCCAATAAGGAAAACCAACAAAGAGGAAAAATGGTACCCTGGCCTCACAATGTGGCCTGTCTGATCCCTGACCACACAGTGAGCATCTGGCAACAGACCCACCCCTACTCCTACCCACATCCCCACCCCATGGCTTAGCTCATTTATAAAATTGCCTCTCACAGTGACAAAGCTTCATGAACCACCTCTGAATTTATGGCCTTGTCATTCAAGTCCCCAGTTTGGGGACTGACACAGGTCCAGCTGGCATCTTGGCCAACTTGGCTCCATGGTATTGATTTCTGCTTCAGAGAGGCAGCTGGCTTCTTCCCTGTCATCCATGCAGGTCTCCTAGCAGCAGGGCAGGCAGGGTAGGCTGGACTCACACCCAGTCAGCAGCATGGGACTCTGCATCCTCTTCATATGTGTCACAGAAGCATCCTTAGCATGAAGTCCTCTGGATGAGGGAACTGTAGGGCTTCAAAGTCCACCAGGGAAATCACCAGCACATTGGGACACTCAGATCCAGAGAGACTTCCCATCTCTGAGACGGAGCAGGGTGGTTGGGACTGAAGTGCTGCTCTTGTGTTTTCGACTAAGTCTAAGAAGCTGGAAGGACCTGGCAAGCCTGGCAGGCAGAACAGCAAGAATTGGTCTGTGAGGGAACCAGCCATGGTGGTGCACCCCTTTAATCCTAGCACTGGGGATGCAGAGGCAGGTGGAGTTCTGTGAGTTCTGAGCCAGCCCTGACCACATAGATCCTGTCTCAGAAAATGAAAAACACCCGAGGACCAGCCCCATCCTTCAGGTGGAGGAGGGCTCACACTAGCTCTTACTCCAGCTCTGAGGGACAGAGCCAGCCCTAGCTGAGGAAGGAAAAGTAAGTGTGCAGCCTTCTCCCTGACTTCCTGGTTCCAGAGGACAGAGAGGGGAGGCAGGGTCACAGCTTCAGGCCACTTTACTTCTTCTGGTCCTGATACAACTTTCCTCTGAGAACAGAGGAGCTTCCCCAGTGGTTCTAGAACTTTCTCCCAGTCTCATTATGAGACACTTAAAGCCAAAGAGTTCACAGGTCCTGGAGGTCTCAGGGTGGTAGCAGAGAGGCTGACTGGGAGGTGAAACAGAATTGGTCTAGGAGGGTAACCACAGATTTCTCTGGTGTGGCTTCACAAGCACTTCGAAGCCTGTGTACTGCTAAGCACTGATGGGTGTCAGCACAGACTGGTAACAGTCATCAGACACAGGAACGGGCAGTCGAGTGCCAAGATGGTCACGTGAGGCACTTTGAACATGGTATAAGTACCCTACTTCATAGCATTAACTCTACCGTCCTAGGAACCTTCATCTCCAACCTCAGTAACTATCATTAATCTACCATTCCATCCTAATCTGTCCTGAGGGCTGCTGACACGGCCCCCACCTTATGCCTGTCACCACACACTCGATTTAAGCACTCAGATCCTCTGCCCATTCCCCACCTTGGCCATCAAACTGCCTGTATTCTTGTTCCTCATTGGCCAAAACCCTTCCCCATGAGTTCAAGGTTTGCCATACTAGGGAGCACAGAGCATGACCACAAACAGAAAGCACGGACTACAGTCCGACCGACTCTTGTCATAGCCGTCATGCTCAGTGCATCTTCTGGAGCCCACAAAGGAACAAGAAGGGCCATGGGTACCCCTTTCAGCACAGAACATGTCAGCCAGAAGGACCAAGTTGATGTCTACCTGTGCTTTCTTTAGCAGATCAGATATAGGAGCACAGCAGTCGGGCATGAGCCTCTCCAACTCTAAAGTGATGATGACCAAAACCAATGTGGAACCCTTGAACTGCAGCAGCTGGTGGCCCGCCTTACAGTGCTGCAGCTGCCTGGTCAGGGATGCGACGTGGAGGGAAGGATTCCTCTGAGGCAGCAGTTTCGCCACATGGGGGCCAGCTCAGGACCATCAGGGTGTGGAACTGGAGACCATGGTTTTTAATGTTAGAACAGAGCCCCACCCTCTCCCCCTAGTTTTCACATATCAATAACCAAAAGTGCAAACGGTTTTGATTTCCATCAGGGGTGGCCCAACCCCTTTCGTTCCCAGGTAGTCTGCTAAGTGTGACATGGTCTCTCTGAGGCTAAAGAGTGTAGATGGCCATGTTTGGATTCTGAGAAATGTGAACCTATTGTTCAAACTAAAGGGAGCGGGAAAGTTACCCGTAATCATTTGACCTGAGGAGAAACCTTGTCAACAGCACCAGTTTTCCATAATGAAACTGCCCTTAGTGATTTAACCTTCATGCTTCGTAACAGACCAAAACGCCATGCCATTTCCTCATTTGCATAATTTTGCCTTACTAACAGAAGCACATCCGGAAGGATGACCTCCATCCCCCCGCGCCCCCAACTAAAACCACACGAACCGGTGTCTGATATTTTTTTAAGTGCCAGATCAGTACGGTCTAACGCCTCAATAAGGATTGTGTGTAGGTGAATAAAGACAGCTAAGTGAATGTGTGTAAAGTAGAGCAAAGGCAGACAGATATTTATATACAATATTCATAGAACAGAAAGTTAAAATATTTTTGCAGTGTGTATTTAAGAGAGAAACTGACCATAATAGTGCTGTCTAAATGTCTTTGTCCAGTGACTTCTGTGTCCTTTAGACGTGAGAGTCTGGTGGAATGGTGTGGGATATAAAGATAACACTTTTTTCACGCTTCTGTATGTTGTGAGCCTTTGCGGGTCACCTCGCCGTGGTGCATGTGCAAGGGTGTGTTGCACGCCTGTGCCTTGCGTGTTCTGTGTTGTAAACAGCTGTTCCAAAGGCACAGATGAGTCTCAGGGAGACTCTGTCAACTCCTGCTTATTATAACCAAGAAGCCCAGCAAAGTTCCCATGTGGAGGTCCTAGTGAAGTCTGTCCAGATTAGCCAGCCCCTTCCTCCGCAGCTCCCCTGGGGTACAGTCAGAGCCACAATGCTCTGTGAAGTCTTTTACACATGGAATTGACTGTAAAAAGAAAATAAAAGGGGCTAAAGCCCTATATCACATCACAGTAGCTTTTGTTTTCTTAATCATGGGGACTGGGGCATCCACAAGCTGAGTAGATTTGTCTTCTAGTGGCCTGCTACTGAAAATACTTCTGGAAGAAAAACCAAACCACATTGTGTGTCTGGCAAGTCACTATGAAGTGGTGACTTGTAATGTACATCGCATGGACCCCCTTTGCAAAAGGTCTCAAGCCCCACTGCCTGCCAGCTCAGACTCAGAGGTGCTCCCCAGGCTGGGCCGTCTGGGGTCAGGGCAAGACCTCACCCCAAATTTCCCAGGAGCT